GCAACTGGGACTACAGTTATGCACCAACATGCTAGGATAATTTATTTTACATACAAATGGGGTCTTGCTATGTTGCCTGGGCTGGTCTCGAACTCTTGGTCCCAAGTGATCCTCCCATCATAGCCTCCCAAAGTGTTGGGATTACAGGCTTAAGGTCAAGCACTGTGTCAAGTGTTTTACATACTTTTATCTCATTTAATTCTTAACATCTTGCAAAACAGGCATCTCCACTTTACAAATAAATAAAACTGAACTGCAAAAAGATTGCATAGTAAGTCCAAAGTCACAGAAGTGGTAAATGGCAAAACTGGGACTTGATCCCAGGTCTACAGAGGACCAAAACTTGTGCCACCTGCCTTTAATAAAAATTTTTTTACTATCTGTAATAGATCCTATACAGAATGTTTTCCTAAAGCTCTTGTACTCATGCAACAAATATGAGTGCCTACTATACATCTTCAAAATTTCTGCAGATATTTTTAATAGCCCCTTTCCCTTACTGTTTCTGCAAATGGAAAACTGCACACTATGCACTTTCTTTTCCTTTACTTCCTCTCATTAAATGTCAAATTTAATCATGCTATGATTATTATCAGGTAGTGGTTCAGCCACAGCTACTTCCTGCCCTAGTTCCTGTTCACTACCCAGAATGAAGTCCAGCATATTTTCTTTCCTAGTGCTCTAAAACTACCTGTTCTAGGAAGCAGTCAGTTGTTCTCATCTGAAAACTCACCTCTATTTTTTTGTGTCATTTTAACAATTTCAATGAGTCTAACAAGCTGAGCAAAAAAATGCAACTTTCCTAAAAGTCATTTAATATTTTCAACTTAGTCACTTGATTCTTGTCATCAAGTGATGTTTCACATTTATAAATTCAGCGTATTTACGGTTCTGTGCTAGTCTGAGAGGAAGATATAGGCATAACATTTTCTCTCAGATTTTCAAGGGCATTCCCAATTCATAATTCGGTCCCATTTTCAAGTACGAGTTAAGAAAAGGCAGTCAACATAAATGCAAAGGAGATTTTCCAATATTGACTCCATGTGGCCACTGACTAGCTAAATAGGTTAAGGGATGACAACAGTCATTTTGGGATTCTTCTTTTATAAACCGTTCCAAAATACAGTTTACAAATTAAGTGCAAATGTTTCTAATAGTGTTTGTTAGTCTTCTTTGATAGCTTAAAATGAAATGTCTCAATGAAGTAATAATATTTTTGGTTAGTGGACACATTTGGGAGTTTTAATTTGCACTGGGAAAATAAGCATTGGAAGGTAAATATTAAACAAAAATGTAACAATGGACAAACTGTTGCGGTTTTCCCATAATTTTCCAACAATCAAAATTGGGCAGTACTAACTTTGTCCAGCCACATTTATATATAATTACTATTTAAATGTGACCTTCACAAATGCTTTTTATACAAATCTACAATTGCTTACCATTCCCTCAACAATCCATATTCCTGTTCTGAGACTGCCGCCTCCTACTCTGTATGGAATATCTTCCTTCCCTGTCTATGAAAACTACCTTTAAAGCCTTTAAGGCTCCGGTGGTAGCTTCTCCCTTAACCGCCCAATCCATTCTCTCTCTCTTAAAATTATTTGTTCTTTCTCCTTTATTCAGTGCTTTCCGTGTGCCTTTACTTCACGTATTTTATTTAAGGCTTAATATTCCCTTTGAAGTATCTATCCTCTCTCCTAAATAGATAAGGAAACAAGCTGAAAGAGGTTTGGTATCATGTTCAAAGTCACAAAGCCCAACAGGAATTCAAACTCTAGTCTGTCTGTACTTTAACTGAATTCTCTTCTCATGAAATCAGACTCTACAGTACTCTCTTATTGTACAGGTTGATGATCTCCTTTCTGAAATGCTTGGGACCAGACATGTTTTGGATTTGGAGTTATTTCAGATTTTGGAATATCTGCATACACATCATGAGACATCTTGGATATGGGACCCAACTCTAAACACAGAATTCATTTATGTTTCATTTACACCTTATATACATAGTTGAAGGTAATTGTATACAATATTTTAAATAATTCTGTGCATGAAATGAAATTTTGACTGCAACCCATGATATGAGGTCAAATGTCTTGTGGCATCATGTTAGCACTCAAAAAGTCAAAAAGATTTTGAAGCAAATTTTCAGTTTGAGGATGCTCAACCTCTATATATTGTATTGTACTGTATTATATTATTATCATTTTTTTTTGTCCAAATATCTCTCTCTCCCACTAAACAGATGCTCCTCAAAGGGAAGGTGACACCATCCCTATACCCTTAACAGTGCCTATTAACACAATAATCTCAGAGTGTTACCAAAAATGTACAATGGTGGATTCAGTTTATGGTTTTGCACCATTATTTTCCACCAGTTAGTCTCCTTCTATCAAGCCTCTAAGAAGTCCATTTTACCGTGATAGTAAAACATAATAACCTTGGATGTAGGGTTTGGAATCAGATTGCTTACATATGAATCCCACCTCCACTGACTTACTAACAAAGAAATCTTAAACAAATGAGATAACCAAGACTTTGGTCAACTCATCTATAAAATGACAACAATCACACTATCTACCTCATAGGATTACAAGGATTAAGTTCGAGATAATATATAAGCAGTCCAACTATTTTTTGATCATCATTTTCTTCATACGCCACCTTAAGTTTTCTCTGGTTCAGTCTAGTAAAGACTTTTTCATTACAAATTCCTTGCAATTTTTCATTACACAGAGTAAAAAAAAAAAGGCTTAAAAATTGTGCAGGCTACTTTCCTTATTTTTAGGGTCAACTTTCCAGTTCCAGTTTGGGCTCAAAAGTTTACTTTTGGAGGCTTGACTATGCAATGAGTGCCCCCACTGTACATTATATTTGACTTGCTTACAACATTTTTATGCCCTGTTAGAAAGTGGTGAAAATGAGAACACCCCACTAACACCTAATTTAACACTATCATACAACTAACCTGTGTGGGAAGCAGGCTATTTCTAGAGCAAACCAATTTCCTAAAACTACCTTGTTTCCGGTCCCAGACGTGGTAGTCCAACTCCAGATTCCCTTCCTCAAGAAAATGAAGGCTAAGCCACTACAATTGATAAGCCATACCCATTTCCTTCTTAAAATTAGCAGCTCATCCTCATCCAAGTCCAAGTTAGGATTTCAAATTGCTATGCTATTTTATGCCTCTTTAGGCTAAAGTGCACAGTTTCCAAATTCTCAGAATTCCCTTTCCCATATTAAAAATATTGTGGAAAAAATTCTGGTATGAAAGAAAAAAAATTTACAAAAAAAAAAAAGATCAAATACTAAGTCTGGTATATTTAATGAATACAACGTTTGATATTTCTTTCTCAGAGGGACAGAAAGGAAAGAAACATTTTAAAAAGCTGTAAGATCAAAGTGTCACACATAAAGTAATCTCAAAGTTAGCAGGCTATACCATTAACAAAGAAAGTCATTGTAAATTACAAAATATTTTTAATGCAGTCTCCGTGAACTTCAGAATTACTTGGCATGTAAAGTACACCCTGAGATGAACAAATAGTTCCAGATTCTGCACTTCCCAGGTTAGTACACGTTAATATAAAGCAGTTCCTTGTTTTCGCCAGGCTAAAAATAAAAAGGTGACAGATCAATGACAGAATGATCCCTGAAGTTGTACAAGACGATGAGCTAGAATGCCTGGACTGGAAGGAACAATACCGGAACGCCGGCTGTCAACACGAGGCAGATAAAAATAGGAAAAGGTGAAGCATGCTGCTGGACCACGGTATTGTTTCCAGACGGGAAATATCCCTCAAGGCCCGTGCGGAGGGTTTCAGCACCCGCTCCTCAGTCGGGGTCGGGATCAGAAAACTCAACTGTCGCCTGCCCAGCGGGGGCAGGGCAGTGACCCTCCTTCCCACCCTGCGTCCGGCGTGCAAAGCCGCCGCCCCCTCCTCCCGAGCCCGCTCCACCGGCCGCTAGCAGACCTCTCTCCCCGCCCGCCGGGCTCGGCCACCCGATGCCCCCGCACGCCCTTCCAAGACCCGACGACCCTTCGCTACGGCGCCCAGGGGAGGAA